GGTCAGTCAATGAAGGCTCTCTAAACTGTAGTCAGTCTGGAGTCTGGTCATTCTGTCGCTCGCACTCCATACATTTCAGGACTCCTTGAGCCCAAGGACAGCTCTTTGCAGCTCAGCAGCTAATGTGAGCAGAACGTCTGGCAGGTAAAGAAAGGGGCGCCTAGACTGGGCTGGAAGCAGACCCAGCCAGGGTGGGAGTCCTGTCCTGTCTGTCGGGGCGTGGAAACAGCCCGCCACCCACCACGTCAAAGTGCTCCGCCCCAGGGCTCAGCGCAGGGGTGGCGGGCGGCGGGGCGGGGGCGGGGGAGGGGGAGGGGCCCGAGGTCTGAGCCAGAGCTGGGAGCCCTGCGACATGGAGTGCTGGCCGGTTCTGCTGCTCTGGGGTCTCCCCCAGATGTGGGCAAGTCCTGACGGTGAGTGGAGCAAGGACGCCTGGGCATGGGTCTGGGAGACAGCGAGAGGGAGCTGGGCTGGGAACCGGGGCGACGCATGAAGGGGGCGGACAGAGGCGCCTGCATCTCGGAAAACTAAGCCGCGAGCTCACGGGTGACTAGGGCCCAGAACTTGGGGCTCCGGGCCTCGGCACCCGGCTCCCGGCTCCAGGGGTGCGGGGTGCTGGGGAGCTGGACGACACCACCCCTCCTGCCCAAGGCCATCAGTTTTGTTTGTTTTCTTCCTTCTCCTTAAGCTCTGCGCCCTCCGGGCCCATCCCATCGCCACTTTCCGGCCGAGCCTCTGAGCAGCACCGGCCTCCGCGTCCTCCATATCTCGCCCTTTGCCAACAGCAGCTGGACGCGCACCGACGGCTCTTTCTGGCTGGGGGCGCTGCAGACCCACTCTTGGGGCAATGGCTCGGACATCCACTTCCTGAGGCCCTGGTCCCAGGGCAAGTTAAGCGACCATCAGTGGGAGCAGCTGCAGCAAGTGTTCTGGGTGTACCGGAGCAGCTTCACCAGGGAGATCCGGGAATTCGCCAAAATGCTGCACTTGGACTGTGAGCTGAGGGATGGGTCCCCGGGCAGCTGTCCGCGGGGAGACAGCGGAGGCAGAGGCCCAGCTGGGAGACTCTGGCCTCACCTGCTGGGATGTTCTCATTTCCACTCCTGCCAGGAAGGTCCCAGCCACTGACTCCCCAAAATATTCCTGGTTCCTCCTGCCCTGGGTCACCCCCTCTCATTTCCCGGAGCTTTGGGTGTTATAGCCCACACATCCATGTCTTTTTCGGTTGTTCCCACCGTTAAACCATTTGATCTCCATCTGTTCCTCTCCTCAGATCCCTTTGTGGTCCAGGTGTCCGCTGGGTGTGAGGTGCACCCTGGAAGCCCCCTAAAAAGCTTCTTCCACTCAGCATTTCAAGGAAGCGATATATTGAGTTTCCAGGGAACTTCTTGGGTGCCAGCCCCCGATGCCCCACATGGGGCCGAGGTGGTCAGCAAGGAGCTCAACAAGGACCAATACGTCAAGGACACATTAGAGTGGCTCCTCAATGACATTTGCCCCCAATTAGTGACGGGCCTCCTTGAAGCAGGACAGCAGGATCTGGAGAAGCAAGGTCAGCCTGCCTGTCTCCCCCCTCCGCCCCCCATCCCTCCTCTGTGGGGCTCCATCTGGGTTTCCCATTCTAGGGTTTCCATTCCTTTGTGCCTTGGAAGAGAAAGGCTCAGGAGGGGATGGCTAAGGCCTGAGGGCATTATTCATTCCATAGTATTCACTGAGCAACCTTTGGGTTTGTGAGTTCAGTTAAATAAGCACTGGGGTCAAACAGGATCTTTGCTTGAGGGGCAGGATGGGAAGACAAGCAGTAAAGTAGTGTGTGAAACTTGGATATGTTACAGCTGAGCACAGGGCGCTCTAGGAGTGTAGGCAGGGGCGTTTACAGGAGACTGGGTCAGGGAAACGCTAGCACAAATGGATGAAGTGACGGAAGCCTTCGTTTCCTGCGGTGGGACTGTGGGCTGCCTGAGTCAGCCACAGGGCCGGAGCCTCTAATGCAGAGGCCCCACTCCCTTGTTGGATACAGTGAAGCCCGAGGCCTGGCTGTCCAGTGGCCCCCCTCCTGGCCCTGGCCGTCTGCTGCTGGTGTGCCACGTCTCAGGATTCTACCCAGAGCCTGTGTGGGTGAGGTGGATGCGGGGGCAGCAGGAGCAGCCGGGCGCTCAGCAAGGGGACAGTCCTGCCCAGTGCTGACGGGACGTGGTATCTCAGAGTGA